AGGCAGGCAGATTCTGTCTGGAGAAGATGGCCCTGAAGTAATGGAAAGCAATTGGAAAGGTTTTGTTGAAAGAATGTACATTCTCACAGAAGTTAGGAACATCATTAAATCATAAAATTTGCAGATTAATTTCATTGAAAGAAGTATGCAGAAAAGATGATCACTATTTTTTTGTAATTTTACTGCTTTGAATGATTTTCTGTTTCTTCATTGCTTTTTTATTTGCACCATTTATTCCAGCAGGATTCTCATTTGCACCCATTCTAATAGTGCTGCTGATCTCTACATAAAGGATTATTTACATCCATATGTAGAAGCAGGCAATCCCCAGGCGAGACCTCTCAGGTATTTTTTAAGGTTTATTACGTATCTATACAATATCTTAAGAAAAGGTGTCTGTTCCAAACAGTTTTGAAAAAAACCATAGAGCTTTCACGTTTATTGGCATTTTAAAACGATGCTTTTGCATAACCTAGAGACTCTAACATGCATAATGAAAGAATGTCATTTGTGAGCTCATTTCATGCATTAAAGATAAAGACATCCTTTTTTAAGTTGTTCTTATGTGTTTATTTGTGCTTTCCTAACTGAACAAATTTTGATATGGTCTTCTAAAAAGCTACTAAAATATTTTAACAAAATATTGGTTGAATTTTGTTGGGGGTAAATAATGCTTCTTTAATTCAGAGCCAATGTTCACAGAGCCAAGTGAACAATTGTTAAAAAAGGTACATATCTGGGAAATCATAAAAATTAGTTCAGTATCAACCTCTTTGTGTATTTAAATGAACTTGCTTCATGTATTCTTTCTAGAGTTAGCAAAGGAAAATTAATTGGGAAATAAAATATACGTGGTTTTTGTGAGAAATGTGTGTATACTTACATATCTGGAATATGTAGTTTTTTCTTAAAATGGATATGTGTATAATTTAGAGTTCATTTAAGTCATGGGTAGTCAACCTTTTTATACCTACCACCCACTTTTGTATCTCTGTTAGTGGTAAAATTTTCTAACCGCCCACTAGTTCCACATTAATGGTGATTTATATAGTAGTGATGTAACTTTACTT